GCCCGCCCCGCCGCGCCCGGCCCTGCCAGTTTCCCGCGCCCGGCGCGGAGGGAGACGTCGAGCGGGACGGTGCGAAATGAATCCGCGAAGCTGGCGCTACTGAGGGGACATGAGTGTGGTGTTGTGTCGTGTGGCCCTCTGGGCCACCGTCGGCTGCCGGAGGTGGCCACGGCCCCTCTTCTCCCGGCGGTGACAGCCGGAGGGCACCGTGCCGCCCCTGGAGGTGCGGGCCCTGCTGGCGGCTGCGGTGCGGTGAGGGCAATGGCGGCCGGGCAGCGGCCGTCCCCGCCCCGCCGCGCCCGGCCCTGCCAGTTTCCCGCGCCCGGCGCGGAGGGAGACGTCGAGCGGGACGGTGCGAAATGAATCCGCGAAGCTGGCGCTACTGAGGGGACATGAGTGTGGTGTTGTGTCGTGTGGCCCTCTGGGCCACCGTCGGCTGCCGGAGGTGGCCACGGCCCCTCTTCTCCCGGCGGTGACAGCCGGAGGGCACCGTGCCGCCCCTGGAGGTGCGGGCCCTGCTGGCGGCTGCGGTGCGGTGAGGGCAATGGCGGCCGGGCAGCGGCCGTCAGAGTGCGGCATTGCGGGTGATGGCTCGGGGGTGGAAAAAACACACTGGGCATGGGGAGGGCTCTCGCCCTGCCGCCGCTTGTACATTGGTGCCCTGCTGCAGAAACGGTTTTGATCAGTCAGGTGATAATTTGGTGGCTTTACGTGACCCCAGTCACACAACCATCATAGAATCATAGAATCATCTAGGTTGGAAGGAAACTTTAAGATCATCTAGTCCAACCATCAACCTAACTCTCATAAAAACCATCACTAAACCATGGCACCAAGCACCATGTCGACCCATTTTTTAAATCCCTCCAGGGATGGTGCCTCAACCACTTCCCTGGGCAGCCCATTCCAGTGCTTAATAACCCTTTTCAGTGTAAAAATGTTTCCTAATATCCAATCTGAACTTCCCCTGGCGCAACTTGAGGCCATTTCCTCTTGTCCTATCACCTGTGACTTGAGAGAAGAGACCGACACCCAGCTCTCTATACCCCCACTTCAGGAAGTTGTAGAGAGAGATAAGGTCTCCCCTCAGATCATTTTCCAGGAGGTCCCACCACCCATACTTGTGCAGACTGTAACCCCGACAGTTCCCATAGCTGCTTAGTCTTCACTTTTGTGCAACGCTGCAGACCTTTGCCTTTTCTGAAACTGTATCAAACAGTAGTTTTCATGTTTTCTTGCAGCTCATGGATGAAAATACCAAGCTGTACCATATTCGGTATTGATCTCTCCTGTCGTCCACCAGAAATCCTGCTATTCAGTGATGAAAGCAAATATTTCTAGGATCTGTTTTAAACTGTTTTCTACTGGTTAGTAGTTAACAGATTCATATTTGCCACGTTACTATCTATCTCTATGTTTTTGACAAAATGTCACATTATTGTATTTCTGCATGTTCACTCCTATCAGCTAGTAAATGTTTACATCAAAGAATTAAATCAAGTGTGTTTGAGAAGGTTTGTTTTCTCCATTTTACTGACTCTTGTGTTTTCATTTGCCCCCTCTTTAATCTTTTTAACTGTATTTCCTTCCAGCATCTCCTTTGTTTTTCTTTGGACTGATGTGACACTAACTAAACTGCAGGCCGCTGCGGATGTCTCACTGCCACTCCAGATCACTGGCACAGAAGCTAAAGGAGAGGCAAAAGCAGTAGCTGCTGGTGCAAAGGCTGGTGGGTTTGCGCTCCACGTAGAAATGCCTGATCTTACACGAAATAATGTGCCAGTGTAGACAGAGCAGCAGATAGCTTGCCCAGCTGCTGAGAAGCTGTCAGCAGCATCGGTATCCCTATATTCAAAACAGTAGCAAAGGTTGGTTGTGCATATGTTTAGAAAAAGTGATATGTAATAAATTACATCAATATATAACATTTCCTTTTGGTCGAAGCTAAAAGAGACCTGATCCTTTATAACACACCTCTCTGCCCACAGGACTACCCTACAAAGAACAACACTCTCTTTGCCACCCTCCTCCCTATAAACTGAGGGGCCTTCAGCTCAATCAGGCACAGGAGCACAACTCTCTCCATGTCCTGGAGTGGTTTTCTGCCACCCCTCCATTTCTGGAAATACCTACCTTACTGTGTCAAGTAATATCTATAAAAAGAGAGAGACATGTAAATACAATTTCTATGATTTTTGAAACCAGCTGCAAGTCTCATGCAAACAGAGTCTCGAAAAAATTGTTTTCAGTTCTTGTGTGAGTTAACTTCAAATAATGCTATCCTTTCTCCAGCCTAATTCACAGATAATGAAATAACTCCTTTCCGTGGCAGGCTGAAAACACATGGCCTATAAACGGGAGACAGGAGAGGGGAAAGAGACATTCATGTTAATTTAAAAAATTTAAAGCATTAGCTTACTGAAGTGCTTAGTGGTGTTATGCAGTGATACATTTGAATCAGTGCTTTAAGATACTTTTTTCTTATGAAACATCACTTCACATTTAACTGTGTATTTGTGTAAGTGAAATTGGATGTCTGAATGCCCCGGTCTATTCTGAAAATACAAACTTAATACCGTATTCAGCAAGCCTGACTCTGGAATTTCCTTGTCCTTCCACAGTACGTACTATGCATACTGAATTCCTGTACCGTGTCTTACATTTCCATTCCTCTTTGTCATTTCGTCAAGGAAATACTCTATTTTGTAAAGACTGAGGAACAGATACCAAGAGTTCAATACATCTTGATTATGAACAGCCTTCTGTCT